TCCATCCTCTCCACACATTCAATCATCTCCACCAACACGAATGATGCATTCTTCCCCTCCTGTAGCTCGCCATGCACCTAGACGAAATCACACGCCACCTCCTGTTCCACGTTTTCCATCTTCATCACAGACTAGATCACACAAACGAAAGTTTGCGTCCATGGATGATAGTGGGTACTTTTCATCACTTGAATCTTCAGCGATGAGACCAAATGGCGTCAGTCGATTGCTAACATCTGAAGCTGATCGGCCGAGGATTAAGCGCGGCCGAGCTGAGGAGGAAATCGCTCGTCTTCGTGGTTCTTCGTACGATAGCCCTAGCAAAGGCAGGTCATTAAGTGGATTCGTTCCACCATCCTCCTCTCCATTGCGTCGAGCTCACCCACATGACAACTATCAAATGTTGCCTCCTCTGACTCCTGCTGTCAAGTTGAAGGCTCCTATGAAACCACCGCCATCGATATCTCCAAACACAAACCTCCGTATGCATCGTGACAAAGTTAGGGAACTCGTTGGCTCTCCAATCCGTGGTCTAACTGTCCTCGAGGATAGTGCATGGAGTCCGGCTTTCAATCTTGACCATAACTCCTACATGTTTGCCGATTACGTTCCGGACTTTGATATCTTTCAAGATTCCACCGCATCCTTCGCTGGATCAAGTAATGGATCACCAGGAAAGCGTTCAGTTAGGAGACCTCGCATGGATCGATCGAGATCTGCAAACATTTTGTCCGATGTGACCAATTCTAACTTGAACAAGAGTGTCACCTCCACACCGGTGCTCAAACTTACACCTGCGTTGGGTGGACCTTCAACGTTTCTTTCCCCAACCAAGGGAGGTTTAAACTTTATGGACTCTCCATGCAAGCCAAATAATAATTCGCCTCTAAAATTCGATTCACCAACCTTGAATCTCTGTAATTTTGATCTTCCTCATGAAGATTTCTTCAACTCTGAGTTTCTTACTGAAGATCTATCGGATTATGCTGGATTCGATATTACACAACGCTTTCCAAAGATTGGTTCAGGAACTCAACAGCAACAATCTAGGACTACATCCAAGAACCAACCACCCCGACCATCGATGGGTCGAAGTTCTACCACACGCTTTTAGGTCGGATACGTAAAGAATAGTGTATTGGATACACACATAATGACTTAATGAACTTTACGACATTATGAAATTTGGGCTGTCAACTTCTGTTCTTCTTTGTTGAAGGGGGTGGAAGAGGTTGATATTTTGCTCAGGGGGTTCAATAGGATATTGATAGAGTCTGGAAAAGCCTCGCGACCTCTTGTTGATGATAATGATGTTTGGGTACATATTTATTTTGATTAAGGGTCTCTATTTCACATTTTCTTGTTTTTGTTTTACTTTGCGTTTGTCTGCGTTTTTGCGTTGCTATTTAAGGAATCGGGAATTAAGTGTGGTTGGACTCTTTCTGCGCCTGCGTTTGGAGTAGCTACTTGGCAATCAAGGGTGGGCGGTATTTTCCGGTCTTGATTTGTTTTATCTGTCATTTCATCTGGACTTATACCTGGATCTGGATTTCTCATCTTGCATGGCGCTGTAGGGAGGGTATTTCACTCTGATTTCTACGATAGGGTTTGCATATGGATATGGATATGGATGGACGGATATTTGGGAAGGCGGGCAGGGCAAACGGATGGATGGATGAATAGGAATGAAGCTATAGATAGAGGAGTTACGTGAATTCTTGAGGTGGCGAGAGATCAGTGATGATTAGGTCTAGTCGTTATTAGACGAGAATCATTCATTACAGTGAGTGATCTGAAGGATTCGTGGAAACCGCAATTCTTAGTACATATGAATATGTTTAAGTCCATTATGAATTTCTCTATTTGCGTCTGTGATTACTTCTGGTGAATGAGTAAATGAGTCGATAAGTAAAGGGTGTAATCCAGTCGTTTGAATATCAGTCATTCGAGGAATGAAGTCCCAGAACCCCTCTTTCCCTTTTTGTTTCCATTATAAGACCTCGAAAAGCTTCAGCTGTAGACCTATTCACCACGCAGTTTTGTATGGGAAAGAGATGGAAATCTTGACTCTTGATATCTGTCTCAATACTACCTAAGTAATAGTCTGAAGACTACATTTATACGCACATGGCCTGATGAGCATAGGGCCAGCTGTCTCCTACGGTGTCGGCTCAGATGGGAATTAGTCCGGGCTTGTAATCTTATAATAACTCAGGCTGTGTGAGTCGGGACGTGCCGGGGGTTAGCGGATATGTATGGATGGATAGGTATGGCTGGAGTGGCTGGAGTGGTATTGAAGTAGGAAAGGAAAGGAAAGGAAAGGAAAGTAGCAGGGTGGGTATGGATGTAGGTAGTAGGTATTTTTGACCTGGTGAAGTCTACTGTAGCCGGCTGAGGACTTGATTTGTATCGTAGGTCATGAGCTAGTATATGAGTATATAGTATATAAGAGGGAATAGACTAATATTAGTCTATTATGGGAAGCTGGCTCGTATTAACAACTAAATAGCTAGGAAACACGTGATTTTCATGAAACAGTATATAATATTCTTATTTTCTTTTTCTATATTCGAGGGGAAAGGCCTTATTTTATGCTTTTTCCTACTAATCTAGCTTTCCACTTTCGTTTATTTCTCGTAGATCTCTTCCTAATCCGGCCATTCCATCAAATAAAGCTTTTCTTTCTTATTCCTTATTCGATTTCGCTAGTACTATGTCGATCTTACTACGAATGGATTGAAAGAACTAATAAAGAGCTAATAAAGAATTGATTTCAGGCCGTTCTAGGCTAAGAGCTCTCTTAAGCGACGATCATGTGATCTGATCATGTGATATTGTGATTTGCTCTTAGTATACTATATGAATATAGAACTATATATATATATAAAAAGATATATTATTATATTATTTTTTTATATAAAAACAATAATTTGATTTAATTTGTGTTGATTTGATTTGAGTTGAGTTGAGTTGATTTGATTCGAGTTGAGTTGATTTGATTTGATTCGAGTTGAATTGAGTTGAGTTGTGTTGTGTTTGGGATATATATAAGGAGTTAGTTGATGGGGTGGTTGATGGGATAAGTAGTGGAATGATTAATGGGATAGTTAATGGGATGTATATAAGGAGTTGGTTGATGGAATAGTTGATAGGATATTGATGGGATAGTTGATGGGATAGTTGATGGGATAGTTGATGGGATAGTGATGGGATAGTTGATGGGATAGTTGATGGGATGGTTGGAAAGATAATTCTGCAAATTCGAGATTGAAGATTGTGTATCTCTGGATCAGTTAGTTGTTAGTTGTGTTTGTGAGAGATAGAAGTACTGTATAAAATGGGATGCTGTGTATGTGTGTGGAGGATTGGGAATGTGATGTGATGTGATGTAATGTGATATGATATGATATAATTAGAGAATATCTGGGTAGACTCTCTTTATATCGGTACTTTTATTTGTAGAAGTAGAAGAAGAAGAAGAAGAAGAAAGAAGAAGAAGAAGATAAGTTTGTATTGTATGTATTAGTTGCTATAACTCCCGTTCCGATAGTATAGTATAGGTAGTATAGTATAGTATATACTAAAAGGAAGGAAGCAAGACGATCTAATTTCAACATATTTAGCGTTTATTATCGCAATTATTGTAAGGGTTTTTAGAGAAATGAAATGTAATGTAATGGAAATGCTTCTTGTTTGATTATAGAATGATTTAATGTAATGTAAGATGGATTCTGAATCTTTGTTAATGGGAAAAGTTGTTGTATTTGAAGGTTGGGAAAATGGGAGATGGGAGATGGGAAATGGGAAATATGATATTGAATGAATGTTAAGTTCGATAAGTAGGTATTTTATTTCTTTCTTTTAAAAATCGCTATTGAATATATTTGTACGGGTTTATATAGTACAGGTAGGGATACTGAATAATTCAAGAATAGAGAGTCTAGATCAATTATCAGATCAACTTTTAAGAAATGTATAGGAAAGAGATAAGATATAGAAGAAAGTGTAAGTTATATATATAATATACGCTAAGATATCTATTGAGACCATCGATATCTCGCTATCGAATATGGAATACTAGAAGATGTTACGCGAGATAGTTAAAGTTGTTATTTAGATTTTAATTTTTATTATATATACTCGGAGATCTAGCATAGCTATATAGACCGAATCGATTATGAATTTACTACTACTACTACTATACTCGGAGATCTAGATGCGTACATCTCTCGATTAGATCAGATCAGATTAGATTAGAATATCGATATAGGGAATACTCTCATGTAGGATAGATATTGTATTGTATTGTGTTATGCGAAAAGTATTAAGCGAAAAGTATTAAGGATTGTGGTGTGCAATCGAGAAGAAGTTGGAATGACGCTTTGAGCTTTAGGTGATAGTTATAAAGAAATGAGTCCTGTAGATGTAGATGTAAATGAGGTTGCTTCGAAACCTTGAGAAGATGAGATGAGGCAGGCGGATACGAGAGTGTTATGAAAAGTGGGATTGCGCTTCCTTGTCTGAGAAAAAAAGAATATATATGTAATTAGAGTATAAATACGTACATCCCTGTGAATCTCAGTAAACCAAGAAGAAAAACTATTTTCAGTCAGTCGATTGTGAGACTTTCAGGGGATTGAAAATTCAATGATTCTAATGATCTGTTGAGTTGTTAGTTAAGGTTTTCATTAAGCAAGGTGTTCTTTATTAGTACTCTAGGAATAAAATGTTATATGAATGAGTTAGTATATGAATACTTATATAAGTAGCTGTATGAGCATTAATCTATATATATAAACGTATCTTAGCATGGTTGCTAGCAGTGTATATGCTCGGTTAGCTCACCTTCGAACTCCGCCGAGCTGGCTAGGTCAGTATCTAGCAGCTCTTGATTTAGCTCAACATCCCATCTGGCGCCCATCTGCTCATTAGTCAGGCCATCGCATTCTCCCACCCTACCATTATAGAAAATTACTTTCGTCAATTTACTTATAAGTTTACTAGGTCAATCGTCCTTTATTGAGAAAAAATGCCGAGAGTCGGGTAGACAGTTCATCAGCGAGACCGTCTTCCTGCATTAGTAGCCACGACTTTCCTGGGTTTCTGTCCTTTTTGTCCTTATAAATTTGAAGCTTAGTTTCAGTAAGTTCAGAGAATTCTACAGCCTCTTTGTCCTTCGAAAAGAAACTAAAATGTTTAATAAGTATTGACGTTGAATGTGATTTGACAACGAGATACTCACTACCATAGTTCTAGACCGACGGATGAATGCGTTTGACCATCGGCATGAAAACTTCCAAGCTTGAGGCCTTCTCTCAGAGCTTGAAATAACCCCTGAAACGAACCTCGAATTAGATAAATATGACACAATGTTAGATGTCGCAGAGAAGAGGCGTGCCTGAGGAGAAAAGCGGTCAAATCTTTCTCGCATAAGGTCATGTTATCGAGTCGTAAGCGAGTCAACGAAGGCCAGGTAAAGTTCCTCAAGACCTTTCTGAGAGGCACATACGTAAGCCTCGAAATCGCAATACCCGACGGTAAGCAATCCTAGATGTAAAGTCTCTAAATTTGGCGCTAATTGCGCTGCCTTCCACAGTCCAATCCAAAATCTCTTACTCATTTCAAATCCTCGAACTGGTCGTTTCATTCCGTCAAATAACAGCTCTAGACTCTCAAGATCATGGAAAAGCTTCAGAGTACTTTCAAGCTGATTTATATCTTGTGTGAAAAAAGGCGGTAGGGGCTGAATCGTGGACAAAATGGCGGACTCATTATAGTCGATTGACTAACGAGGCTCACCTCGAGCCGGACAATCCTTGTAATCCTGTATCCAGTACACAACCTACAAGTATCCTTCATCAGGATCTGATAAAGTAAGATCAATTAAGCAAAATTGTTTCATAGTTTGAGTTCACAATTAAGGTTATTGGTCTATAGAAACTCAAGCGCCGGACCCGTATCCTCCGATTTATCTCACGAGTTCTCATCACTGGCTTCACCATAGTAATAGCCGTAGAAAAAAGAAAAACACTTCTGAACTTCCTCGAGACTCATAATGATATTGGAAGCCCACCTGGTTCACCGACACCCCGCGGGGCTTGGGCTCTCCAGAACCAACTTTGGTCAGCAGTCCCTCTTTTCATCACTTGCATGGTTACAGCGATTCTCGGCTGGTTTCGGTTATTTCCTATTTGATTTTCTTCAAAGCCGCGAATTCTATCACCAGTTTGAATACTAAGTTTGGTATCGCAATCGAACGCATTCATATTGCTACTTAGATTGCAGTGGCAACAGCCTATCGAGTAGCGAAGACTGGAAAAGATATTTGGGAGTGGGTGTGTAGTCCACTGGCTGAGAAGATCCAGCCAACATTTCAGGATGTCGTCAATTTTAAGAATATTTGTGACAGAAGCGTAAGTTTAAGATCTAGTTCGTATATCCACAAACAGATGCTAATGATTCCAATGAGTAGGGCGTCAATTTCAAACTCTCTATAGCAAACTCGGGTTTGCAAGTTGCAAGTCTTAGTATATAGATTCTGGTATACAAGAGGATGAGGACTCTTCAATGGTTGAAACGAGCAGAATCTGAGCCCAAGTTTTAGAAATAGGGAGGCTTGGTAGTGTACGGGTTAAGATTGGATATTGTCTCCTTATCATGTGAAAAGATAGGAATATTTGTACAACAAGACCACAGGCTGAAAATCTCTCAATCCCCAGGAACATTCACCAAGATTCCTCTTCTATATTGTAGTAATCGATAGCCTGTAGGTCCAGACTCCAGAAAAGGCAAGATTCCATGAATATCATATATTTTTAAATTCCCATCAACCTTCAAATGTAACAAAACCAATCCTTTCAACTACGAGCACAACTATTCACTAACAAGGAAGCAAAGCCCATCAAACTGCAAGCTCCAAACTGCAAGCCCCAAACTCCAAGTCGTCGAAACAAAAAAATCCAGCAAAGTCATGCGGAACATCTCTTCCGATCCCACTACCCCAAAAGGAAAGAAAAAAAAAGGTTAATCACACATATCAAATCTCTACTCACCACAGAAACCACAAACCCACGCGCAACCCTCCTCTCCTTCAAACAACCAGCCCATACACTCTCCAATCTCTAAACCCACCCACACCTAATCTTCCTTTCTCATCCCATCCCATCCCATCCCCTAATCCCCAACCCGAACCCCGCACTCGGTTCTCCCCTTTCCCCACACCACACCACATTACCCCAAATTACCCCAAACCTAACCAATCCAACCTAGCGCACTAACCACCCTCTACCGAGCAAATACCGAGGATAGCGTTGCCGGGACCGAGTACGTGCCGTACCGTCCAATAAGCACATATATTTTTAGCACAGATGCCTACCCGAGGGTAAGGCGTGCGTAGGTATATCTCTATAGGTGAATATACTATCCAACTTCCCCCTCTCCCATTTCTCAAAATCCCATGTCATTATCGTCTCACAGCGTTGAAAAGAGACAATTCATCATAATGATATCAGGCAAATAATACAATACTGGTATCCAATCAATTCATTCATTCTATTATAGGGCCTGCTAACTGAGCAACTTTGTAATGCAAAATACAACGCCTCAAACCCATTCATAATGTGGTTTAGCTGTCTATCTTCATTTCCTCTTCATTATAATCCATCCCATATCCTCAGTCGCCGCCCGAGCGCAAACCATACACCACAGACCTATCATTCTCATTCAATATTTAAATCAAAAAATAGAATGCAGATATTAAATCATTTATTGAGCACCAACGCAGCCCAGCCCAACCCAACCCAACCATATATAAGAAGCGACGCCATTTTTTGATGCCAAGACATAATTTCCAGGAATTGGGTCTATCATCATGATTCAAGTCTCGTCCATGTTTAACATCAAATTTTGGATAACGAGACGAGTGTCAATCGATAGTCACTCGAAATCTCAGACCCGAACGCCAATTATTTCCCCATCCCATGCGTATTGGCGCCAAAGTTGCCCACTAAGGGCTTTATCGAAAGCTATCCGACCGACCCGTTTCCCAGTACACCATATATCAAGTCTTACTCAGGACTGCCAGCTTCCACCGACCAAATTTGAGAATGATGGAATGAAGAAAACTTGACACCTCAAGCCATTAAACATGCTTAAATGCCCAGAACATCCATGTAAGGTTGATCGAACAGCGTAAGATTATCCCCAGGTTGAGGACTAGGCATTCTGCTACCGAATCCCGGAATCTCTCTGCTGAATAGATCCATATCATAAAATCCTCCCGATTCACCACCATCATTGTAGTTGATGTCCAAGAATTCAAACATATCATTTGGATCATGGGAGACTTTCGAGCTTGTTCCACCAAGAACAGCGTCACTGTCTGGAGGCGAATGAGCAAAGTGGCCATTGTATATCGCAGTTGAGCTATCAACGAGAGTGCCCAAAGACTCGAAACCATTTAATTGAGTGTCAACTGGCGGTGTGATTCTTTCGTCCATAGACCGCTGTGCACGTTCCAGCTGTGCTCGCTTTCTCTCATATGCCAAAGCCGCTTTGCGCTTAGCATCTTCACGTCTTGCCGTCTCTCTAGCACGGCCTATGATCTCCTCCATACCTGCTTTTCGGACAGCTGCCTCTAAGAACTGAGTTGCGTAATCTGCTGAAGAGTAGTTATCGCGCAAACTCTCGAGAACAGTCATACATAGACAAAAGCCTTCCAGAGCAGGCTGTCTCTCATTCTCTTGTGGAGACCTGACCAACAGTAAATGAATAATGATAGCTGGAAGTAGAGCTGTCACGCCTGTGGTAGGAAGGTATTTCTCCAGATCATAATTATGCATATCATGAACAATGTTCGTAGTCCCAATAGCAGCGTTGGTCACCACTTCACGTGAAAGCGCGAAAAGCGTTTGTGGTTCCGGTTGATTTGGCCCTGCAGGTAAAACTCGTGGTCTGTGCAAGGCAGAAGTCGCCGTGAAATAAATCATATGTAACAATGAACATGCCACAAATAATGGCTGCCCACTGTTTCCTTTTCTCAACTGATTCGAGTAGACACATGCTTGGGGAAGATTTTTCTTCCACAAATCGAGTGCCAAATCGCATTGCTCGACCTCTTCTGACGATGCCGACTTCTTGGGAAACAGCATAATCTGTGACGTAGTATTTTCAGATTGACTGGAAGCACTTTGATGTCTTGCGAGGACCGAGTATTGCGCCACCAAGATTTGGCTGATACATAAACACAATTCAGCTTTCGAAATACACATGAGAGCCAACTCTCGTTGAGCCTCAACATCTCTTATCAAAGAACATTTCGAAGAGATTATTGAAATCCGTGGATCGAGTGCCTTGATCTCGAAATCACCTTCAACCAGCATTGGTACGTCACAATCTTCATCCTTAACCCTAGTCGGACGTCTCATTCCCAACGCGATGAGTCGGTCTCTCATAAAACATGACCACCATACTCGTTTTCTTAGTTTATGATCAGCATCCATTCCTTTCGGGTCCCGATGCAACGCAAGCGTGTATGCATGATCAATCGCTCTGCCCATCCAATGCCAAGTGTCTTTGTGATCTTCGGGCGTTTCATACCAGTATGTCATGAGAAGAAGAGATTGCACTACAGTTAGCATGTCATTTTCGTAGTCTAGATCATACAGAACCTAAATATAGTCAGTACTGCTCGAAGTGCGCCCATGCTAGCTTGTTACATACTCTGGCCCTCTGGAAAAATGCTTTCCTCGCTGCTTTCCTTGTACGATGCCCAGCGCGCTTCAAGCTTTCCATATCCACAAAGGCTGTCCCAGAGAACATTATTGATTGGAAAAGCAAGAGACTCATTGCGCCAGACCTCCCTTCATCATTGATTATCTGTAAAACTTTGTGTAATTCTAAAAGTGGCATATATGGATAAATGTATTCGATGAAAGCTTGAAGCAAAGCGTTTCGTAACGGAGGTTCGGGAATAAGTAATGCGCTTTTCGCCCACAGGTAGTCTATATCGACAGAGGTCATTTTCGAAGGAAGGGGGTTGATATATGCCGGAAGTGAATGTTTCAATGAAGGAGGTGGGGAGGATGCCAGACGGGTGCGAACTAGATCGCCAGTCATAGAAGCTCGATGCGCAAGCTGTGCGAGCCTTTGCTCATCAATATCATCGCTTTCTTTTGAATGAAGGGCTGACTGGTCTGAAATTGTCAGTATATTAACCAGCACAAATCGTGTTCTGAACGAGCCCCTGCTTACAGATTGAATGAGGCACATGCTCATGTAAATGCTGGGATTGGGATGTAACGCTGGGCCCAGATGCCCGTCTTATCTCATTATTTGAAGCTTGTTGGGGATATACCATATTGTCCGTGTAGGCTTGGAGAGGAACTGCTTCGGCGGCGGTATCGCTACTGCCTCGTTTGGTTCTGCTCATTGCATATGTTAATAAAATATACAATTTTAAAATTATGGCTTTTAGCCGTCTGTGTAACTAACCTTCTCCTTTTACTTCCAGGGACTAAGCATTGTATTCCATCAATTGCACAGTTGTTACATACTCTTTCTCCAGCGTCGTTGACGCGCTCACTACGCTCCACATCACACCGTACTTTTCGACTTCTACAATTTGTACATGCGATTGAAGAACGTTTT